AGAATCACGCCAGAATCGACACCAGTATCTTTTATAAATAAAAGATTATCATAAAATAGATAATAATCCTTTTTTTTTCGCTGCAGACCCGCTCGGACTCACCCTTGCTTTATGGGCCTTTACAAAAGCGTCGCGAATGTTCCTCCACTTTTTTTGAATATTCTGACTTGTTGCAAAACAAAGAACAATTGTTTCAGATATTTGGCAATGGGGTGCTCATTCGCTGAATTGCATTACATATTTAAGATTGGACTTAGCACAGCTTTGCCGAGCTAGACGTTATATTGAATGTACTTTTGAGATACTTGCGAATAAATGGCACATTTTCCATAGACCCATTAATGTTAATATTGATTTAGTTAATGATATTATTAAGTCTGCTTGTATTTTACACAACTTCGTGAGAGAAAGAGATGGATATTATTTTTTATCTTGTGATAAATCAAGTCCATAAATATACACCAACACTTCTCAAGCTTTAACATTCTGCGGATTTTGTATTCCAGATTGCTGACCTATTTTGTATCTCAATTATATTTTTTACTGTATCGAAATCCATAGTTAATTATCAATATAATGCGCGAGTATCGATGAACACGTACACCGTCAATGCAATGGCGGGCAACCGCAAACTAGCACTATCCGCGTAGTGTATACGCTACCGTCCAGCTGGCCGCAGCGATCAGAACGACCGGAGCGGTCGACCAGCAGCCGCATCGCAGTGCGGATAAATACTACTTTATTGAACAAATATTTGATTGCGGTCAGCCGGACGGCTGACCGCATTCCGGTTAACCGCATAGTGCGTAGGTACCCTTATGTGACACATATTGATATATTTTAGCCAATTCACTCAATGGTGTCGATTCTGGCAAGATAATCTAAACTTAAAATTAAATTTAACATCAGTTTGTCCTTTTCATTCTGTATAGAGAATGACAGGGATACACTGTTGTCAAATTTAAGTTTAGCTTTAGAGAATCATGCCAGAATCGACACCAGTAACTATATAAATTATTATATCACACACATACACACACTTCCGTCCCATTTCAGGAAATCACTCCCACAAATTGCAGGAAAGCGAGAGGAAAGATGTTACACATCAAAAATTGGTGTGAGAAACCTATACACGATTTTCGATTATCTAGAGTAGACTTGCTTGACTTCTTGCTCACAATATGGCGCCTATTTGTCCCCATATTGAATTTTGATTATTATCATATATTTAGTAGCACTCCCATGATTAAGAAGAATCGATTGACATAGGAATCATCAAAATCGGTCCACGCGTTTGGCCACAAAGGAACATAGGTACATATATACACTGTTAAACACTATACCCTGGGTGTATTCCGTAATATATACCGGAATGCACTGTCATGACGTCATTAGCACTGGCCAGTATATTGTACTGACCAGTGCTAATGACGTCATGAATTGACGCTATACTGGTGATTTGGTCCGAAATATACTGGCCAGTGCACTGGCGTCATAAATCGACGAAATATTAAAAATGGTGTGAATATAGAAGATTTTTTATTCCCTTCCCCCGGAATTTTTTTTGTTCGGATGCCATTATTGTTCTTTAAATAAAAAAGAAAAATCCGAATGTATGAGCGACACCAAGCGTACATGAGAAGCTCGGTCATACGTCATATTCGTTTTTCCAGTAAAAATATGGTAGCATAATATGGCGTCGGATGCGTGACGTCATTACCACTGGCTAGTATACTGATGTATATTTCTGAATACACACCCTGTATGCGCATCACTCTTCGCGCTCTTGCATTGTGCAGTCAAGTAAAAAGGATTAAGCATGCAAATGTTTGAGTTCCAATTGATTTAGCAACTTCTTCAAAGGAGAATGCCCATTGGTAGTATCGTCCTTGGTCGGCCTTGTACATTCACCTAATTTATATCAAAAATTAAGTTTTTAATTTTCACAAAACCATGTTAAATAATTTGCTTTAACTTCACCGAACAAAAATTTCTATAATAAATTAGTAATTCATTCACGTCCATTTCATTTGTATTTTTGACACACTTGTCTTCTCAGTGTTGCCATTTTGTAATAACCGTATCGATTTATCAAAATATAATCGATGCACTTGTAGTTATTTCATCAAAATAACGAGTGAGATTATGTGTACAATTCAATATGCTAACGAAAACATATTATATTGCATTACATTTGTCGCAAAAAAAGTAGTCTGATCTGTATATTAAGATTATTAAGTATAGATATAGACTCGAAAGTCCATAATACACGTTTAGTAAAAAAAAGTATCGCAACGGCTCGGTGTCTGTTAAAAAAACCGATTTTTTAGGGTCGTACATGATACATATACAGCCCTAAACGTAAATGCTGCATCACATGCATTTATGTCTACGTGCATGACCGACGATCATCCATACGAGTAATTCATAACTTGCATGCTGATAAACAAAGGAACTCCATGGGGACTTTTCCTTCATCTGCCTGTACCTAGCCTGAACGCAGTTTGTTTTGATATCAATAAAATAAATTCTTTTTTGCTTTACTAAGTATCTCATGACGTAATACTGTCCACAGATTTAACACAAATAATGTATCAGATATTACACGCTATACATGTACTATACGTGCAAAATATAACATTTATGCTTCTACTATGATCATAAATCTATGACAGTGTAATAAATAATTAAGCGGGATTAAACTATTGTACCAGTAGTGATAAATCGGGAAAGAGGAATATCGATTCATTCATATTTTTTAGAAACTGGTAATAATATTTCCAGCGGAGTCTGTCAAATTGATTTTTTTTCACTGACGTTTCTAATTTCGAGCAGATTATTTGGTAAATATTTCAGTGTTTATAATTATTTTCATCTATTTCCTTTAAGCTGAGTTGATTTTTGATTTGATCAAACCATTTTATAGATAGATAAACTTGAAAAAGGGAAGGCAAGAATTATTAATATAATGACATTTGTTATATCGTAATTCGTATTACCCGTCGAGCTAGAGAAAAGGTATATTTAATTATTGAATCTACACATAGGACCCTACAAAATAAGGTAAAAACCATCATTGTACAAAATTTTTCGTAGCGATACTACAGTCCATACTACGATGGGCATTCTCCTTTAATGCAATAAAATCATAACAAGTCTATTTAAATAAAATTAGATCACTAAGTAGAATGTATACTCTTGATTTGTAATATTTAGTATTAAGAATATTTGTATTAAAAACTAAACCTTATTAAAATTACCTTCACATTACCATCAGCTCCAGCAGTCACATATTCTTTCTCTGACTGGATACAGTCAACCAGCAACACTGCATCATCATGTTCAGAAACAGAAGTCTCTTGGCTCCATAGTTTCCAAACTTCATCATTAATTGTGGACCAAACACTGACTGTACCATTATCTTCACATAATAATACCTAAAAATGTGACATTGAGTTTAAGTATCTATACTGATATTATAGTCCATAATAAATACTAATATAATATAAATGCGAAGGTGTGTCTGTCTGTATGTTACCTCTTCGCACTTAAACTGCTGAACTGATTTGAATGAAGTTTGGAATAGAGATGGTTTGAGTGGTGGGAAAGGACATAGGACAGTTGTTATCCTAGAAATCATCCTTTGAGGGGGTGAAAAGGGGCATGGAAGTTTACATGAGAATCCAATACTACAATGCATGAAGTGGTGGGCACCCATCAGTATTTAAATAATGCCTCCTCTACATGTTGGCAGATGCATCAGTAGATGGATCACGAGCCGACCATACGTCTGACGACATCTGTAAGTCATGCAATCTATGCTAATTCTGGACAGAGGCAACTTATAAGCATACAACATTTAAAAAAAATGTTGAGATCTCTATATATTTATTAAGTATTTTTAACTACCACTTGAGGTGCATTGCAGTAGAATTATTAAACAGAAATTGAAAAGAAGAAGGTTGTGGGTGCTGGCTATTTTTCCAACTCCACAGATAGTTTTCTACTTGAATGCACCTCAAGGAATTTAAATATTTCGTTAAAGCTCATAATATTAGCCATTTCAGCGAACGAGAGAAACAAATGAACAGCAGTACTGGAAGGTATCCATTCAAGACCTTTCCGCTTCTCTGACAATGATTTTAAGACATGAAGTAACCTTTTAGAACACCCAGGAGGCATCAGAAAGTGTTATTCTCGCCTAGTACATCAATAAAAATATAAGATCTTTCTTACCTTGCTAAAATTTCCTATAAAACAGCCATCTGTTGTACCACTAGCTAAATTAATGCACTTTTTTCTTTCATTATGATTTTTCTGCGCCTCATTCACGGATTTGTATATACTTGCTCCCCCATTCCAGTAACGACCAGTTAATTCAGAGCAACCAATTAGTACTCCATTTACTGTGAAAGAAATAGTTGTCATAAAAACAACGAATATGAATTTCAATAAACAGGACCACCACCACCAGCCAGCATTATATATATATAAATGAATAAAAATACCTGGATGCAGATAAAGATACTCCAAATAAGAAACTGTGTTTACACTGGTGGTGTCACTTCTATAAACTTCTGCGTTTAAATGAGGTGGGACAATTTTGTTGCTATTTTCCATTTCAAACTTTAATGTTTAGTGTCTAACAAAATTGTGACCATGTACGATACTTTATCTCCTTTATATGTACGTGCTAAAAAAATGTAGCCTGAAATTAACACCAATAAAAGCTATGTCATCAAATTAATTGGATTGACTGAAACTTAAACTGAAAAAGTAATACTATCAAACCACAAACTATATAGTGATGCTAGCGCATCAGAAGAAAGCTCACTTACAGATTTTGACATTTTACTTTTTTTTTTCGAAACGTACATTTTATAGATACTTGGATAAGCGTCTTTTTAGCCACATTGTTTCCTGTAGGATATTGGGATCCGCTTTTCAATGCTTTAATATTTGAAGGTATTTTGGAAATAAAAGATTGCACTATTTGTTATTTTTTTTATTTTTCAATTTTGTTTTATATTTATTCAAGGCTTTTAATTGCATAACAGGCAACGTTTTATTTTGTAGGCGATGTACATCTGTGCCTTTTAAGATTTTATTAATAATGCTACACCAATTATGGATAGTTAATATTAAAGTAAATTCTAAAAAGAGATCTAGTACCGCATGCTTGTGAACAGCGCACTTAAGAAAATCAAACATAAACTTGGAGCGAATGTTTGATTTCAGCGTTTTTATTAAATTATAGTTTTGAGGCTGATCTTCCAAGTATATGTTTGTTTCCTCATTTATTAAACTAAATAACCTCACTGCTTGCTCTGATGGGTAGGTCAATTTCTTTGTTTTGATACTTTTATATTCTCTTATGGAAATCCAATTGTTTAACGCATGTTTATCTACATTAGATTCTTTTGATGTTAAGTCGTTTTTACAATCAATGCATTCTATTTTATTTAATATTTTTCTTATGACCCACCCTGTCGTATAAGCACGTGAGTGGACGTTGAGACGTTCTTGTAGAGCGGATAATAAAACCCTATTAGAGGACTCAGGTGATATATTAGTTTCATGCCCATCTGAACCAACACAAGAAGACTCATCGTGGAGTACAAGATTATTTGCACTAGTTGTGCACGAAGAGCCTGTATCTTCTTGTATTGGTTCAAACAGACTTTGTAAATTTAATAACTGTTCACCTGAATCCTCTTCACAATTAAAAGATTCGGAATGAAATTTAATAAACCTTGTTACTAATAGCGACCTAAATGTATTGGTGAAGGTGTGGCAATTTGGATCGTTATTTCTAAAATTATACGCCCGCACTTGACCGAAAAAATTTTCAATGGGATCGGAATTAAAGTAGCGGGGGCGCATAATATTTAATCCCTTAAGTTGAAAAAAATCCACAATCTTTGAAAACTTTGGAGTGTAGTTAGCCAATTTTTCAATGAAGGCACAGATGTTTCTTTTCCATTTTTATCAACAAATCTGATATTTTTTAGTCTTGTGATGGCTTGCTTCCAGAAGCAATGATGTTGTGATGTTGTTGTCACTGCACGTCGTAGTAATTTGCCTTTAGCTTTATTATTGAAAAGACTTGCGCCGTTTACTGAGTCAAAGAGGTCATCGAAAAAGGAAACTGTATCTGCAGTGTTTTTCAAAGTTGAGCTGACCTCTCTTCCATCAGCGTAGTGAGCTAAAATAAAAAAAACATATATTTAAAACAAGAAATATATAAAAAAAAGATTGGATTAAATTAATATTACCATGTGTTAGAGACAACAGGCAAAAATAAATTTGGTCAAAAATACTTACAAAACTGAGCAGTGTAGGCTAAAGTTGCTGCCACTGTTTTACTTAAAACTCTGACACAGTTTTTGACCTAAAACAAAATAATTTACCATTAACATTGTAAACTGTAAAGCATTCAAAAGTTTATAATCTAATGAAGTGAAAAGAAAAACAACAGTTTTCATTTCTATAAATTTGTCACATTAATCAGATTACTACATGAACATGCTTTGTTAAAACATGCTATGTTGAAACGACTGTATGACAGATAAAAAGAAATGAATATATATACATAAAACAAATTACATTTAAGATTTTCTCCCACGAATGCGATTTTTTAAGTTTAGCAAAAATTATAAGTGAGTGGGTAATTGTGCCAGTGAGAGTATTAAATGACCCGGACTTATTTTTCCCGTTGTCATATTTTTGTATAAAATAAACTTACAGAACAAGAAAAACTATCGATATTGTTATTTAAAGAAAAATAAAATATCGATACCAAACTTTCCCTAGTTACGATTACTTGTGATTATCATTAGTGTACGTAGATGAAAAAATATATTTGTAGGCGATACAAAGAGTTTATTTCAATGTAGTGGTTTACCTCATCCCCCTCAAAAAGTGACAGACTTTGCGCTGAGTAAAATTAGGCGCGTACTTAGTCCAGTGGTTTAATGGTCTAAGTCAAAGAGTGGTTTTTCTTTCTTATTTATTGACTTGCTGTTATAATTATTAATTACATACCTTCATCTTTTTAATTTTTTCTGGAATCACATGCTCGTCGTTCAATTTGTGCAGTAATCTAATTTGAGCATGATTGCAATCTGTATTATATACATCAACTATGTCACTCCATTTAGATAAACAATTTTTATATTTTATATCTTTTGTTATGAAATTATTTCTGATCCCCTTGATTAAATGAGGTGGATCATATATGATACTTAATGAATGACCATTAATTCTAATGGTATCATCTGAAAAAAAAAAATTTAAACAAATTCTGTATGCATGATTATGATAATTTATTTCTAATTTTACGAAATATGAATTTTCATTCATTGGATGTTACTTACCAGTTATTTCATTACAAATGCTTTGTTCTCTCTTTGTTTCCTCTTGCAGGCTTTTCAGAGAGGCCACGAAAGATGTGCCCTGGTCACATATGAGAGCTAATGGTATTAGCCCTGCATTTGACACTGCTGTCACTAAATCTTTCATAATTTTCTTCAGTTGGTATGATGAAGTTGCTCCTTTACAAAAGAAAAATGTGATAGGTTGCTGCCATTTGTGAACAGCACCTCTCAACATAAAGACCAGGGCATGATCTGCATATTCATTAATTCTTTCATTTAAATGGACAAAGCCATTAATGACATCCTTGTATCTATTATAATTGACCCCTGAGTCTAAAGCCACCTCATCAAACAGTATAGAGCAAAATTTTCTTTTCTCTTCCCAAGTTGCAACCTGTAAGCAAAATTTTTGTTGCTATCAATATTATGTACAAATAACTCATGCAAAGTTTTTGTCAAATCTTTACTTCTTGTTACTTACCTCTTTCTTCACAGCTTCAAATATTTGAGGATTTAGCCCTGGTTCGACTTTTAAGTTGGAGATCATTTTATTAATAGTGTGTTTTGAGGGCAAAATGAAAATCTTTTGCAAAAATTTGTAGCACTTCGGGCTTTGCTTCATTATCGACAGCCCTATTAATTTTTCCTCCTGGGTAAAGCGACGGCCTCTTGAAGACTTAGTGTACTGCCTTACTTGCAACCACATAAGTTTCTTGGTAACAGGATTCATATTCTGAGTTAATTTTTCAAAAGATTCTTTTTTTGAAAATTTCATTGCTTGTCTAGCTCTGCGGCTGAAATTTAATTGTCTACGAGCCCTGGTGAACTCCTTGTAGAGATTGGCACATTTTGGTGAAAGAGTTTTTGCTTTATGAACAATATACTTTCGTTTAGGTGTTTTTGCTTCTGTAAAACAATTTAACAAATCTGTGAAACATTTTAAGCAAGAAATTATCTTTTAAAGATTTTTTTTTTCATATGGACAATATTAGAACCAGATATGTATAAAGGGTATAAAGACAAAAATTATAAAAAATAATTAAATAATGTATAAGAAAATGAATGTGGACTTAAGATTATTTCTCACCTATGGTACCTGAAGTTGGTTGATTTTCATAATATTGTACTTTGTGCGTGGAAGTAGTTGGACAGGGCATGGATACTGAAATTGAGAAAAAATTGAGATAAATTAAAGTAATTTCTTTGATGCAAAATAAATTTTGAGGAAATTTCAACATTTTTTTTTAAATACCTGTGGTTGATAGATTCTCACAAGATTGTGGTTCGTACATGGAAGTACTAGCAGTAGGCACAAATACTGAAATTAAAAGTTTAGAATAAAACATGTGATGCTTCAACTCAATACAAGATTGGTGAAAGTTTACTATGATCTACCTAAATAAAACTAGTTTTTCAGGTCAGTTTCAGCCTTTCCAGGTCTGCATCGTCAAAATACTGTACAGACCTGACAAGGCTGTGAAACGTCAATAAATAAATAAAGTTTCGTGCATTAACCCGTTAAAACTAGTTTTATTTAATGAGTGATGTGCGTGAAAACCTAAGAAATAAATATGATCTACCTAGCTTAGTTCAGATGATAATGTGGGTTGGATGATGTAGTGAGAGGGAGAATGTCTTTAACAAACCGAACACTTAAGTAACCATTTTTTAAAACATTTCTGTGATCAAGACCCTGATAGCGTAATCAAGCAATAGTATCTCATGTTATCATAAACTCGTAGACATTTTTATTTATTTAACAGACATTGTATCAATTAATATACTTATGCATCTTTTAATGTGTAATATATAGCATGTGACAATGCTAAACAGATACATTATAACAGCATTATGGTTTAATATTATGTTCACTTACCAGTTTGTGACTGCTTCTGTTTCTTCACAATTTCAACTTTACAGTAAGAATGATCTTGATGCTTCCTTTTTCTTGAATAGTCATGATCGATAAGTTCTGCAGCCGCATAGCTCACATTCCCTATAACAAGTCACAATTTTAAGAAAACAGGATAAATTTGTTTTCATACTGGCATCTGGGGAAGTAAGAGATTTTTTTTTTCACAATACACATAACCTAACCACCCGAAAGCTACTCTGGTTAGCTGATCACGTTCATAACTACTTCCAACAGGTTTTTGTAACCTACAAACAAAGAACCAATACGTACCGGTTTCATCAGGAACTGCATTATTAATCTCACTCTCCGTGAACAATGTTGGGATGGCACTTTGATGCAACCGAGATCTTAGTTGTGAACTTGTAAAGCACCGCTTGGTAAAACTGTACTTCCAGGGCCCAAAAGGTGATACTTGTTTTTTTTTGTAGAAAAGGTCTTTTTAATAGATTTTTTTTTCTGGCGCTTCGCCGGCCGCTGCCGCGGCACGCTCGCTTTGCTCGCTCGGCTCGCGCGTTATGGTCACAACACTAACCTAACCTAACCTAGTGTGAAGTATCACCACTTGATAAGAAAAGTAAAAATTTTCAATATTTTTTTTCTAAAAAACTACCCGTGCATAAGTGTGACATTTTTTTTAATAATGTGGTTAACAGAAACCTTTTTAACAACAAAAATGCGAAATTACAACCAACAAAACTGTGAAGTTTTTACTTTTGGGCCCTGGAAGTACAGTATATCCCACCGCTTTTCAAAGTGTTTGGCACACACAAAGCACTTATCAAGTTGTACAGAATTGAAATTTTGTAAATGTTTCAACTTCAAGCACTTTAACCAAAGGAGTCCTGTCTCAGATTTGGGTATTTTATAAAATGCAACGTCCCTTCGTCTACTCTCACAACCCATAACACTGCATGTATTAAACATTGTTCTGGTTCTGGGTTTTAGAAAACTGTTACAGTTAAGATATTGAGAGGATAAGCTACGGAAATTAATCAACGCAAAACTTCACTCGATCGACACTTGAACTGAACTGATCCATAGTGTCACTCACTTGTCATTACAGTGTACGGTATCAAAGGGGGTGGGGAGTGCGACAGAGGGGTGAAGAAGTGTCAAAATCTACATGTAAGCCATAGAGTCGAACGACGAAAAAAAATGTTCGAAGATTGTAGCCCGTGTATCAAACTGAAACATAACTTTTTAATCACGTAGCGGGTTTAACAAGAAGCAAAGCAAACAGGCAAAAACAACAACCAACTTGATCGTGTTTGCTATTTGTTAACTTAACAGCAGTCTCACTTTTTCACTCCCAAAATATAAAGTAAGGACAAATACAGATGGAACAACTTGTCAAAATGACAAACAGTAAAGACGATTTTTTTTTTAATTTTATGGCTTGGATAGCAAAGACGAATGTGTAAACTCTTTTTTTTTTAATTAGTGTTTTTATATTTTTTGTACGCTCTAATATATATTTATCCCTGAACTTACAAGCGTTTTCTTAATAATATAAAGAAGTTCTGGTTAATATTCACGAACAGTTGACTACCTCACAGAAGCTTATCGAAAAACCCAACTCGATACATTTCGTGCCAAACACTCCAGGAAACATTGGAATGCGTCACACCGACATTCTAATATAAAAACAAAAAGAAGATTAATATAATTAAAGTCTAGGCTGTATGGGCATTGTTCCCTTTGCCTTCCCTAAAACGGGAGAACTACAACAAAAAAAAAACAAAAAAAATTACATTAGTTCCACTCCATTCTGTTTATTTTCTGCAAGCCAATTTTATTCCAGTCCAATTCCAATATTACAATCTTCTACAGGTGTCACAAGGGAAATTGGTAATACTGAACAACTAATTTTGTTAATCTATCTAGTTAGTTTTAATTATGGCATAACCTATTTTTTAAGGCTTAAGTTATTTAATACTCTAATATTAATTCACTTTTTATCTAACAAAGTTCTAGATAAATATTTATTTGAGTTATATTTACTTGTTAAGTACCGTGAACTTCAAAGTACATATTTTTTTACTTTGAGATTTAAGCAGCAGTTATGAAGAAATTAGAATTATTACAAACTTTAAATGGACATAAGGGAATTGTATGGAATGTCTCATGGCATCCTGCAGGCAACATATTTGCATCTTGCGGAGAAGACAAAACAATCAAATTGTGGAGCAAAGAAGGGCAAGAATGGACTATAAAAACAGTTCTTGTAGATGGCCACCAAAGAACTATCAGAGAAGTGGCATGGTCACCGTGTGGAAATTTTCTCGCTTCTGCTAGCTTTGATGCTACAACAGCTATCTGGGATAAAAAAAGTGGTGTGTATAATATTTCTGTATCCTGGTCTGTATCCTCTTAAATTCCTGCCTTTTAGGAAGATGAATAATAAGATAAAAAACTGTCATGTATTATCAGGTCAATTTGAATGCAACGCAACTTTAGAAGGACATGAAAATGAAGTAAAGAGTGTAGCATGGTCACCATCAGGACAACTGCTTGCTACATGTGGTCGTGACAAATCTGTTTGGGTTTGGGAAGTCACTGGAGAAGATGAGTATGAATGTGAAGCTGTTCTCAATGCCCATAATCAGGATGTCAAAAAAGTGTGTATCAGCACATGTTTTATAATGACACAAATATTTTATAATGTGAAAGGACTTTATTCTTCATTAGTAAAAGAGTAATTATTTTTGTAGGTGCAATGGCATCCCACAATGGATTTGTTGGCTTCAGCATCATATGACAACACTGTGAAATTATACAAAGAGGATAAAGTAGACAATGATTGGACTTGTGTTGCTACATTGCAATCACATGAATCAACTGTTTGGAGTTTAGCTTTTGATAAAACAGGAGAAAGGCTAGCTACATGCAGTGATGACAGAACTGTGAAAATATGGAAGGAGTATAAAGAAGATAATCAAGAGGGAGTCATAGTGACTGATAAGGAGTCTACATGGAAATGTGTTTGCACATTATCAGGATATCATTCGAGGTGTATCTATGATATTTCGTGGTGCCATCAAACTGGACTAATTGCAACTGCATGTGGTGATGATATTATAAGAATATTCCAAGAATCCGAAGATTCTGATCCAAATGCTCCTACGTTTGAATTAATATGCACAAAATTGGATGCACACCCTCAGGATGTGAACTGTGTTACTTGGAACCCAAAAGGAAACCACGAGTTAATTTCTTGTACTGATAATGGTGAAATTAGAATTTGGAAATTTGAAGAATAGTTATTTCAATGTTTAAGAGAAATTCTTTGTTTTTAGTAGATATCATTTGAAATATACCTAAAGTACAGCCAGAAAAACATACCTTGTGATTTTAGGGTAAAATTAACAAAACTGATTACTGTTTATTCTTAAAAATGCAATCATTATTTATCTACTACTTATATAATTTTAAATTCAATCAATATTGAAAAGAAATTTTTTATTTTTTAAAATTTTGATAATTTTAATGATAATAATGTTGGTTTTAATATTTATATTCTAAAATAAAGAAATTGTTAAAATAGGTACAATCTTTCTATACAAATTCTATAAATATCACCCCTATATTCCTTTTCTAAGGTGGTGGACGCTAAATGGTCCACGGGTGGACGCAATTTGGATTTTGTGGACGCAAAGTGGGTAAAACGCCTTATTCCGAAGTTTATCTATTTAAATAAAAAACAATAGATGTTTCGAACAAAACTGAAAGTTAATCTTAAAATAGACTATATAATGAACACATTACATAAATTTTTCATAGTAATTAGAGCTGGGATATTTTTATTATCGCCGTCAAACTTTGCAACTGCACTAAATGGACGCGAACAGGCGAACTGACCCTACCGCGCTGTCAAAAAACAACAGCTCCGAAAATGCGGCATCTCATTATTGTATTGTGTGTATGTCAATTTGCAATGATGCTATCAAATGTCATAAATCGTGTAGCCAGCTGCTCAACTGCTACCCAAGTAATAGGGAAAATATTGTAGGTTATAATTAATATGTACCAGATTATAAATGTAGCTCATAAAATACTTGAAGAAGATGCACTTAATTAAATGCGAATACATCAATATTTTTGTGTACTTATATGAATAGGCGTAGGTTTCTTCTTCAAAGAATGCTTAGGCCTTATTATTTTATTTACATGTAATATTTACTTGTACATTATAACAGTGATTCAAGTGTGATAAGTTGGTCGCTATAAACGAGACATTTTTGTAACTCGGTAAGGAAGCTGAGTGTGTAATGATCAATGCACACGAGCTGCATACGACGTTTTTCAACACAATTGCGACGAAAAAACAAACTTGTAGTTAGTAACTGTTATAAATTTCAACTGACCTTTCTGTGTTGCCAACAAAAACTTTTCAAAATCGGTTGGTGACAATACTTTTGACTTTGCCACTATATCCATCAGAGCATCGCTTTAGAAATGTCGTCAAGTTACTTTAAGTTCATAAATCAACTGGCAGCAACAGCCTATCACTCGCGTTTCGTGCCTCGATAAGTATTTCCGGCGTGGTTGAATTAAAATTGTGCAAATATTATGAATAAATTCGCTCATAGGTTCAATAACGGCACAGGAATATTTTTTAATAAAAATAGAACCGTTTTACAAAATACTGAAAATGTAAAATAAGATTTACCGTAAAGTCGATCGTTATTATCATAATGATCTATCTCCCTGCTAAACATATACCTTGGTATCGACTTCAAGTATATCAAGCGGTAAATCTATTTTTTTTAAGTCGGTTTTATATTTATTTAAAATTATTTCATTGTCCCATTTTTAGTGTTACGCAGACTACGCTACTAGTTAGAAATTGTACAAGCGTAGATCTACACGGGTAAAACCGTGAGACATTGCTAGTAAATTATATACCAAAACCTTCTCAGAAAATGCGTATTTATGCATTAAATGCGCGAAAACCCCATCCGATTCGGATCCGTAGCTTTGAGATTATCATTGTCAAACATGCAGATCAAACTGAGAATATCCTTTTTTGAAGTCTGTTTCAAGACCGACTGTGCAGCTGGAATAGCAGCAATATAAAAAAAAGAATAAACTATAAGTATAAATAAATGTTTCTTAATCGTTAGTTAAGTTAATTTGTGTTTATTATAGATATAAAATGAATTGTTTATTTCTATATGTATAAATAGTGTGTCAAATAGTGCCTCTAACAGTAAAAGTATTTTATGTGAATTCACAGTAAAACAATATAAAAAAAGCAATTAAATTATTTTTATATATAAAGTACAGTCATGTACAGAAGTGATAATATTTTCGTAGTATAGTAGGTAAGTAAGGTACTTAGTAGGTAGGTTGAAATTCTTATATGAATTTATGATTGGTAAATTCGAATTGAAATAAAATATCTTTTTATAAAAAGTACCTATTTATTTTAGTAAAAATATATATATAGATAATTTCTTAGTGCATAAATTATTTTTGTGTGCAACTGTACTACAATACATTTGTTCCTAGAATTTAAGATTCTCTTTATGTATTGTTGTGATGCGGTATTGATAACGATAAAGGTTCATTTTCTATGAGAACTATTATGGGTACGCCAGGTTGACGCCAGATAAGAATGTTTAGTTCAATATCTTTGGAAGAGGCACTATTTTTTTAATGGCACAACGAAAAACCGTATATTGATCGTGGGTACGCTAGCATCACGGACACGGTTGACTGGCTCGCTGAAAACTCTGGTATGCCGATTTCGGCATAGTATTTGTTGCCGCATTAGACAAGTACGCCGGCGGTATCTAGTCGAGTGAAGCGAGACCAATCATTCATCTATGGGTATATATTTAAATGAAATGTAGAAAACTATCCTTATCAAAACAGAAATTCACAACAGTTCAAAAAACAAAAATTATTTGCTGTTACTGTGAGTAATATGGGAAAGACACGAAACAAAATGAAAATACCTAATTTTTTTACTGTACAATGGGTGACGGAATTTTGGCGAACTCAGCATGACAGAACAAGACCTTAAATGTCATTTAAATGAGATAAAAGAGTGTAATTAGACTGTCAGTTTCATAGTTTCATATAAGATGAATGAACTTTTGTATCGCTTCTCGTTGGCCGTACATTAGTAATTAAGATGTTATTAATTTTATTGTTATCTTCAATATTTTTGAATTGATTATATATATTTGTAATATTTGTATTTGTAAATTTTATCCTAATGCCTTGGGTGACACTCTACAAATCTTTACTCTTCAACAGCTTGTATATCAATAAATTTAAGTAGTGATGAAATTCTTAATCACTTTCATGAAATGGCTGAGTTTCTGATATAAAATACTGGTAGTAAAGGTTAGCTTAGCACAGCAGACTAGACCATTTCCATGTGGTAACATACCAGCGAATGCTATAACTCACGTTAGTCTTTACCTATAATAATAGTATATTACTGCAACGGCCAGCAAAAGGGGCATTTATGGACGAACGTGTAAATATGGGCAAAGGCACACATACGTAAGTCCATCAATGCCTAGTTGTGGCCAAGGCTTGTATAGTACTTTTCTCAAATAATGCGTAGATATTAAAACTAAGTAGTACCTAGGCAGAACTTATCAATATCAGTGATGAATAACAACATTCATTAGTTTGTTTTTTTTCAATAATCAGCTGTCTGTTTGTTTTTTTGTAAAAGATCGTTTCATTGTAAAAGATCGCTCCATTTTTTAATTAAACGACAGATATAAGTTTACTATGTAATTTATTTGACTGCTAAACACGGCTTAAAATGCGATTCAACTAAGAATAGGACCGACTGGACGCCATATTGTGACGTCATAGCTGTCAATTCGAACGAAACAAAAATGAAGCCAATAGATTGTGTTGCGCAACTGGAAAGATAATATTGATACCATTGCTTCCACCTCCAGAGCCATTGTACTCATTGGTTTTAGGAATACAAACAGATTCCATACACTTTTTAAACAATATTCAACAATACAACAACTGCTTTCTAATGACTTCATTTCGAGCAACAAAACTATAGGAGTCGCGAAAAAAAAATATTTACGACCTCCTTTGCCGAGTGGTTTATACGCCGGGTTTCATGGCGTCGCTGACTCGAGAGGTCCCGGGTTCGAATCCCGGTGGGGGCAGATGTTTGTGTCATGAACACGAGCATTTGTACTCCAGTCATGGATGTTTAAATATGATTTCTATATAAATATACTCGAGAGGACCCGGGTTCGAATCCCGGTGGGGGCAGATGTTTGTGTGATGAATGCGAGCATTTGTACTCCAGTCATGGATGTTTAACATGTATTTCTAAAAAAAAAATATATTTATTTATGTACTGTATATGTATTCTATCCGTTACCCTAGTATCCCATAACACAAGCCTTACAGTGCTTACTTTGGGTCTAGGCTAATTGGTGTGAGTGTTAGAAATATTTATTATTATTATATATGTATAGTATATGTATTCTATCCGTTACCCTAGTATCCCATAACACAGGCCTTATTGTGCTTACTTTGGGGCTAGGCTAATTGGTGTGAGTGTTGGAAATATTTATTATTATTATTTAATAAAATTTATTTACTAAGTCTGAGAAAAGAAAACAACCGATTTTTAATAATATGTATTTATTTATTAAGACTGTGAGAAAAAACATTAATCAGAATTAAGCTCTTCAATTCCGCTCATCTTTGCATTACCGCCGGAGTAGTTATGAAAAAATCATGCACTATTACTAAGTCACATACGAACATGCATCCTTTATATAAACGAAGTATTAAATCGAGTTCCTGAACGCAACTTAAAGTGACATTTGGTTGACGATTTAGAATAACAAATATTCATAACCAAAGCTCATTATATGAAAAAAAATATCAACTAATATTATTTATCAATATTTGTTATTGTTTGCTTACAAATGTTTGGTTTTTATTCTAGAATTAGCTGAGTGTTAAGAAAGGGTTTCAAGATTTTTACCGTACTTTTCAAGCGACATTTGACAGATGGAGGTCATTGGTTTTCCTATTCTTATTTGAATCGCATAATAAATAACTTATCAAAGATTTTATTTTAAATTAAATTTCGAATTGGCTAGCGAATATGTAGCTATTAGGTTGGGGAAAAAATCTTTTCGCGTTATAATATGTATGAACTTGTAATAAAATCTCTTTGGCTATACCATTTGTATCTGGCTGGTTTTGGTATCATTAAAAGGTTTAAATTTTAAAGATGATAATTCCAATTTTAAATTAGAAAAATGAGTGATTTTTATTTATTTTTCTTACTGTCAAGATGAGTAAATCTAAAGAAGAAATTCGTTACATTTTAAAATTTTACTTCACAAAAGGTAAAAATGCAACGAAAAAAAGTTGTGATGCTTATGGACCTAGTGCAGTGTCTGTGAGAGTAGCACAAATTTTGTTAAAGCGTTGAAAACGCTTAATTTGAAAATCAGAAATATTTTATGTTAAAGATGCACGTCGCTCTGGTCGCCTTATTACGGATAAAACGAACGCAATTTTTGAAAAAATGGAGCAAGGTCGGCATATCCGTAGTTACGACGTAACTGAAGAACTGGAAATTTATCACAAAACAGTTTTGGCGTATTTTATAAAAGCTGGCTACACAAAACAGCTCGATTTTTGGGTGCCTCACGAGCTCATTGAAACAAACCTAATGAACTGTGTACTCGAAAATTGCATCACGTACTACAAGAACGTGCGAAAAAGATCGTGGCCGGTCAGGCTTCACAGACTGGTGAAACCCGGGTTAACTCTCAACAAGGTGATGCTGTGTGTATGGTGGAATTGGAAGAGCATTATTCGTTATGAGCTGTTACCGCCAGGCAGGACCATCGATTCTCTATTGCGAACAACTGATGAGATTAAAGCAAGAAGTTGAGAGTAATGGCCAAAATTATTCAACAGAAGGGGTGTGGTTTTTCATCATGGTAACGCTAGACCTCGCACATCTTTAGCCACTCAGCAAAAATTTAAAGTTTGACTGGGAGGTGTTGATGCATCTGCCGTATAGTCCTGACCTCTCACCTTCAGATTTCTACATGTTTCGGTCTCTTTAGAATTCTTTAGACAGTGTCAGATTTACATCACGAGAGGACGCACAACACGACACGTGGTATTGCTAATACCACTTGTCGCGCTTTTTTGATCAGAAGCCCCAAAATTTCTATAGCAATGGGATCATGTCTTTACCTACAAGATGGCAAAAAGTCATCAAACAAAATGGCTACATACTAGTGATGTAACGGATATTCGCTTTCGCATTCGCTAAAATTATGCTAATATTTAGCGAATGTTTTTAATAATCAAAAAGGAAATTATTATATGCATTGCATGCATATGAAATAATAATACAATAGATAACACTTCGATATTTTTATTAAATCATACTTCTACATTCTAAATTAAAGTCTCATTTATGAAAAAAGAACTTCAGAGATCTGAACAAATATAACATTAATCAGCCTTGTTACAATGTAAGGTTTGCATTTATTTAGTAGTATATTATTACTTTACTACCATTTTTAAATGAAGTTTACAGTTTCTATTTACTAAAAAACTAAACAATTACTTGAAACAAAATTATTAAACTTTAAATATCTAATGTATTAAGTATTTATAACCTTTGGCTTTAAATGTATAAATATCTGTTAAATTTGATAAATAACATAAAACTAACCTTAAAACAATACCTTTAGAATTGACTTTCTGTTCTGTGACTAAATTCATTCAATTAACCAATATCGGCTACGTTCAATTTAAACATGGCCGACACGAAACGTCAAACCTGACAAACATTTTAGGCGCGCTTTTTTTGAAATTTTAAAATATTCTCATTCGCATTCGCGAATGTTGAAGATAAATATTCGCATTCTCGAATGTGAAAAATCCAACATTCGTTACATCACTACTACATACTATAGTTAAATGTAAATAAACTTAATTAAAAACATATTTGGATTGTTATTTAAAATGCGAAGAAACTTTTTCCCCAACCTATTAGAAAGCTGTTTATTAAAAAAAAACATAAATTATTGTTATTCGTTGTTCGTCACTGATTTTGAAAAGTAATTATTTAGTTTTAATTTCCGCACATTATTTGAGAAAATTACTGACTCCAGTAACACAAGATGTGTTACCAGAGTGTCAGTCCAGCCCAAACACACAGAAATGCCCGTTGCAATGAACAAAAGGAGTCAAAAGGAGTCTGATGAAGAGTGGGATATTCAATTAACTAAAATAGGTTATGAAACCTTGATTTCCTTAGGTGTCCATTCTTGTATTGCATAGGAGTGTATTCCTTTGTTTTTCGGCGCCCCGCGCACTTCAATGCACTAAGTGTTTGATTCATAAAATCTTACACAAATTCGCTTGTCGATTTGTAAAACCAGATACTCCTTCCGAGATACCTTTTATTTTAGAGATTTAGGAAAGAGATCAACATTAACCATTGAGACATGCTTCATCTTTGCAGACTAGCCCCCAGCTCGTGATTTGTGCTCGAAGTTCGGTATATAAACAACTAACAGAAATATTTTATTTTAGAATTTGCAGTTTGTAACTGATGATTGTTAAACTAGGACTACTATTGCGAAATTATAATACATTTCTACGGAAATTCACTACAACCACATTTCCATTTAAAATGTCGCCTGACAACAGTGCTGGGGTTCCTTTGAGAAAAGTTATATCAGCTCTTGAAGAATTTGCACCTAAAGAATTATCTGAAAGTTGGGACAACACTGGACTATTAGTGGAACCGTACACACCGAGGTGAATTCTCATTATTATCAATTTATTTACAAGACGCTTTATGTTTCTTCCTATTCCAGAAAAGAAATACCTAGGTAAGACATGAAAACAAAAACTGGTGATTTTCCGAACAGATAGTAAAAGTTCAAGACAGAGCAATTTTTCATTATAGGAAACTAATAACTATGTAGTACTTGATTTCGATAGGCTGGCAACTTGTTGCCATAAAAATGTGACAAGAATCATTTTATCAGATTTCTACCATTTTCTATTTCTATCTCTTCGGAATGCTTTAGGTATTGCATGGTTAACAACAGAGGACTCTCTAAACTGTTTTTCGCAATTTTTGTTCAACAAAATTTCCAAGGTAACGGGATCTTAATAATAACACCCTGCTCCCTAGCAGTTATATATACAGCATAGTTACCCTTAACGAGAAGGTAATTGGACAATGTGATAGATGCATAGAACATATAATAAACTCTTCTGTGTTCTGTGGGTACATGCATGATAAGTACCTACTAGCTACTTCATCAACTGTTATTGTGAGATTTTTTTAAGTTTGCATACTGAAAATCCTGTTGATCCCCCAGGCAAACTAAAATAAATAAATAAATCTCTAAGGTAATTTATATGTTTGCATAGTTTCCGATTAAATATTAATGAGTTGATGTAATTTGTCCACAATTTATTTTATTTAAATTGGATTTTCTTCCTAAACCATTATTTGTTTTAGAAACGTGTCGAAGATATTGCTTACAAATGATTTAACAGAGAAAGTGGCTCTTGAAGCTGAAAGTAATGGCTGTGAAATGATCATATCCTATCATCCTCCTATATTTGCGCCTTTGAAGTCAGTTGTCCAGAGGTAAGCAGACGAATACGTAGGTACTTAGAGAAGTGGGAATAGAAAAGGGTGCTTAGAGAAAAACGAAGTTTTTTGTAAGTACCTACACCTGATGGAAAGTGTAAGTGGAGTCCAGTCGCGAAGATAGAAAATGTGCCACTCCCACCCCCCGGAGCCATGGAATCCTACTCACCAACAAAAATACAACTCCACCAAAAGGTAGTGTTATTTTACTGTGGTCTTCTGTAAGGTGGAGGTTGCTTTCCCAGACAGGCGCTCCAATGCGAGTGGAAACTCCGCTATGCCCTACCTCTCTCGCCATATCTTACTTAATGACCACCGTGAAATGGTGCTACAGTACCAGGCCATTTATAAGTCGCATCGTGCTTTAGAGAGAGATACTCGGCTAGCTTCGGCTACCTTCGGCTTTGTAGAGCGTCATCTCTGTCACACGAAACACTAACACTAACAGTCCGGTATCTATTAAGAGCTGCTAAAACTTTTTTTTAGTTTTTTTTAGAAATCAATACAAAAAGAAAATATGTAAAAGACAACATATTATATGTACTATGCGTGGTACTATGTATGTTAATTTATTTATTTTAATGAAAAACTATAATTTTTATTTCCTACCAAATAATAAATTACGACAAACTTATAGATATGCGAAGCCTCTCATAAAATAATTACTACCATCACCATCCTTATTTTTTTCTTTCTTTCACGTAATATTTATATTTATGTTTTTCGTATCAATCTGTATAATATATATTTTAAGAAGAACGCGACTGCTCTTTAGCGACATTGAACTACGACTGACAAGTCAGCGACTAAAGGTCAGGTTGACAAGGGTGACAGAGACGGCGCTATACGAAGCCGAAGCTAGCCGAGTATCTCTTTCTAAAGCTCGATGCGACTTATAAATGGCTGGGTATTGTACTTGCCTTTTGCTTGTGTTGTGTTTCTATGTTTCTATCGGTAACTAAGCTTTCAGGGCTCCACGGGACTGGTGAAAGGAGCCAGGGTAGACAACGTGCCAATGATACTTTGTATCGCAAGCGTCTACGTAACGCCACATTACGTAACACAAGTAACACTTTTCTATGGTGCTGGGCCTGCAGCAATGAGTAAGGTAGCAACTAGATCTTCAGGGTAAGGGTTTCTGTCGAGTAGTCGACACGCGCGTGACCCCCTATAAACTCTTGAGTTTAGGTACCTATTTTAGCTGTCTTGTTTTAGTAATTCATCGGTATTTATTTATAAGCTTAAAAGATTTCTAAAATTGAATAGGTAATTTTATTTATTTCGTTTTTCAGATCTTGGAAGGAACGTGTCGTAGCTCTGTTGTTAGAGAAGCGCATATCTCTTTATTCCCCTCATACTAGCTGGGACTGTGTAAAGGGAGGAGTTAACGATTGGTTAGCTTCCGCTTTTTCTATCGTCGATTCTGCCCCTATTGTACCAGGAACAGATCCTAGCACTGGGGCTGGAAGGTATATTCTTGACTTTAACTACAGAGGTGTTGTCAGTTAGCGATTGATTTTCAATGAGATTTACTCCCGGGAAGTTTGTTAAAGTTTGCTAACAGAGACTAAAGGGAAGGCCTGTGCCCCAGCAGTGGGGACATTTAAAGGCTGACGATGACGATGAACAGAGACTATTCATAAGATTAAACGAACTTTATATGTAATCGACAGTAGACTCCGAATGTAAACTTTTGTATCTAAATTGGAAGTTGTCACAAGCAAATTCTAACTTCACTTTGAGAGCTCCTTAATAGTTAGAATATACCTACGTAATTAATAGTTTTTGTAGTTGGGTCTAATCAATAAGTAAATATTATTTGTGTTTTTCAGAATCTTGAATCTTAAAAATGGCATTCCGCTGTCTGATGTCGTTTCGAATGTTAAACAACTTACTGGCCTTGGTCATGTACGCATCGCAATCGGCAAAAATGGAACGATGCAGGATGTCATATCAAAGATAGCGCTGTGTGCGGGCTCTGGAGGTTCTGTCTTAAAAGGTGTCGCCGCTGACGTGTATTTAACAGGTAAACGCTTCTCTGATATGACAGTTTAATTACCAAATCATAGTTCTGAATAAATTTAAAACTCCACTTTCATTCCTTCATCTAGAATGGCTTATAGATTAAGAAAATACTTAACCAATCTAGGCTGTATGTATTCTGTTCTGCGTTGACGCAAATTACGAACAAACAGCATGTAATTTTGTTCCAGGTGAAATGCTTCATCACGATGTCTTAGATGCAGCTCAAAAAGGTATATCTGTAATTTTAACAAATCATTCCGATTCAGAAAGAGGTTTCTTACGACCGTTTTCAATTAACCTTCAGAATAGACTAGATAATCAAGTGCAAGTCATGGTGAGCAATGTCGATAAAGACCCTTTAATAACCGTGTAAATCAGTTATTGTAAGTTGAAATAAAAATACATGATTTGATGATTCATAAATAGTTTATTTTTAATCCGCATCTGTCATTTACTGTATATAGTTTTAGCTTTGCATCGCATGTTACCTCCTTCACCTTATCTTTAGTGGTAAGTGGAGTTCACATTGCACAGTGTTATGGTTAATTATAAGTTGAATTTATATAAAATGTGTGAGATCATTGTTATCTTATTCTACCATATCATGCACATCACGGTTGCCTACAACACTCACATATTCAAGATGACAAAACATTTTCGTATCTAGGTATTATTCATATAGACTAGATGCACTTTCTCATTACAGTAGCTGACAAGTTCTTTGTACATTGGTTCTGGTGGATCTTATTCTATATTCTTTTCTTCCTTTCACAAGCCTGTGATGATCTGGGAGCTGCACTGAAATATTTTCATTTTTAATAATGTCTTTATTTTTGTTATAAGAAATTGTTATGTGATTGGAGCATGCATTGTGACTTACTTACGCAGAGCGGACACATCTACATTTTTGTCTTTTGTTTTTAAATCTTTTATATTGTTTTTACTTCTTTCTTTTAACGTGTGCTTTTGTTTTACTGCACTGTGTCCGGTCCGGACTTTAGATACAGAAGAAACTGTTCCATTTTTATCGTCATATTTTATCACGTATTCACTTCTGCGGCCTGTTCTTCGACCGTTTGAATGATAATTTTTATCAGCCCCCATCCGGTCAACTTCTCTTAAATCTTTTGATTTTGTGGCATGTTCTATAATTATTGGGTCCATTTTTTTATGAGCCGATTCCATTGCTCTAGTGTTACTTTTTAAGGACTGTTTTGGACGATGATTTGTTGTACGTTCCTTACTAGATTTATCTTTTGATAATGTGACATCTTTTTCTGATTCATTATTTTCATCAGTGTTTGTCCGTCGTGAGGTTTTCACAATGTCACATTTATTATCTTTCAAGTCACGTCTATCATCTTTATATGGTTTTTTTGCTGAATCTGATCTTTTCTGCTGTGTGGAATATTCAGGTGTGGAAAGCTTTTCTGTACGTTGACTGCGACTTGTTTTCTTTATACTATTCTGTTTCTTCTTCAAACTATCGGATTCACACTTGCTTGTCCTATGTTCCTTAGTTTTTTCCAACGAGTTGATTCCTTTAACAGGTTTTAGTCGATTTTCGAACGAATTATGCTCTTGTGAATCTTTTTCTTCCGTGACATTAGCATATAATGGTAAGTTTTTATCTTCATCAACGTCAGTATGATGGTTTGTTTTTGCTTTATCTGTATTTTTATTTAAAGTTTTCTCTTTCGTTTTCTTTTGATCTGAATACCTAAAAAAGGAATAAATCTCGAATAAGTATTAAGAAAATATAAGGATATAATATTAAGTTTTTTATTTACTTATCAATATCATATATAAAAGACAGAAATTAAATATATATATATAAACATCAACACACCAAATAGCCACAATTGTCATTTCATTAAGGAAATTTAGGCTAGAAACAACAGTGACAAGTTGCCAGCCCGTCACCGACAAATTTCCAAAGTATCCGGTTATTATAATATCCAATAATAGGCTTTCACTATCAGCAAGTGAAAGATAACAGCTGGCTCATTCTGTTTTTCTGTCGCTTCCAGGCCATCTTAAAACAGATGCAATATTTTTTTAACACTTTAATAATGATAATTAATCACTTTTTTCTACATACCTTTGGAGTATATTGTCTTGTCTACTACTATGTCGAAGTTCATCCTGCCTACGTAAAGAACTTTCAGACTGTTTTTTTGGTGGCTCTGACAGACTTCGGTTCGCGGTTATCAACACATCTTCTTGCTTTTTTCTTCTAGAACGCCTCGATTCTTGTGAAGCAATTATGGATTCGCTCGCTCGTTCGACAATTGGTTTTAAAATAGTTATTCTCTCATCTGAGTTCTTGTATTTTACTCTTGTTCTAGGCGTGGGTATTGGAGCAAAGTTGCTTTTTATTGGGAAATTTTGATAATCAGGGGAATCATCAGATTCTGCTTCACTATTTTGAGCACTATTTGATATTTGCTTTATTAATCTTACAGACTCAAATGTGTCATCTGGGAATCTTGATTGTGATCTTATAGGTTCCAAGCTACCGTGTGATTTAGCGGTAGGGAAATCTTTTTTCTGTTGATTATCAATACCAAAATAAGTAAGTTCATTTTCACGCAATTGCCTTGTTTTTGGTTTTTGTACTGGTGTCATCTGTAAAACTTTAGTATTGTTCCAATTGCTATGCGATGCTTTTTTGGTCAATGTACTGTCATTATTTGGAATATGTTTTTCATTATCAGAGCTTTGTACTTTAGAAGGACCTGAAATAAAAAATAATAATTTTGAATCATGCACATGTCATCTTTGTTTTGGCTTGTATTTAGTTGTAAAATATTACATGCTTTATTAATCAGGACCATGATGTCAAATTATAAATTTTATCATCAATGTGCTACTACTGCAACTGCTGACAAACTGTTGCACATTTTAGCAGAATAGGTTAAGAACTTTTCTTAATTAATTGTATGTTTTAATATTTATGAAAAACTAAATAAATACATAAAAAACATCAATGTTCAATTTAGTTGTAGGGTTGAATGAATTTACCTTTATTCGTTGTCCTCAAAGAATCCCTAAAGCTCATATCATCAGTGATACGCAAACTATATAAACTGGGTTCATTTGTATCATTTCTTTTTCTTTGAAGCTGCTTATTAATTATTGATACACCAGTTGGTGCTGGTTCCTCATCCGATAAATTTGTTTTATTAGGATTCCCAAATGCCATGTTCTCCCCTAAGAGATATGGTTTGGGTTTCGGAATTCTGTTTTTGAGAATACTTTTTGTAGCTGCTGTATTCTCATCTAACTCCATGGCTTCGTGGAAACTTCTTATCCCATATTCATCTATTTTACCAATTTCCAGGAAATCACTTTTTTCCCCAAACAAAGTAATAGGCTTTTCAAACTTTTCGTTAATTGGCACGAACGCACTCCGCCTTTTTCTAAAATCGTTTGTAGGTGGGGGCTTGTCGTCGGTTGCAATGATATTGACTTTTCCGGAATCAGCGGCAAAATGCAATTCCGTTTTACAAAATCCTACTTTCTTCACTTTGCGCTCTCCATCTTCGCCTATTTGATTATTATTCATGTTATAATCGTCATCTTCGATGGTAATAGGAACTGTTATTGACACCTTTCCTCTTGATTGTAAGGCTATATTGTTTTCTCGGGGTTCTTGTTTTACTACATAATGTTCTTTGTAAGTTCTGAAATTAGGGCTAGTACTAAACCTGTTTTTCTTTAGTTCTTCTGATGACCTAGCTCCAGTATAAACGGTTTCGCGAGTTGTGCCGCAATTAACGTTTCCTTTACGTGCTTCTTCGGCAAAATCATTAACTATTTCTGATGATTTACAAATGCCGCTGTCTGTGGACGATTCCATGGCCAGAGTATCATTACTGTGTAAAATGACTTCGTTTAATGGAGAGGTATCTTCAAAACTGTAACTTTTACGCCTGATATTCCAGTCATTACTATCGTTCAAAAGTGATTTGAATTTTAATGTGCTTAGTGTGGCCGGTGCATCTAGAAGAGGTGAAGTTCTTGAACTACTTCTTTTAAATGAATTAATACTACTTTCAGAATCATATGAATATTTTCTATTTAACCCTTTATGACTAAATCTTGAGTCCAAATCTATAATACTGGCATTCTCAGTAGATGAGGATTCTTCACTTGGCATACGTAAACTACTTTTGTCTGACGCACTTCTCCATTTTGATGGTTCCGATATTTCAATATCATCTGGCTCGGTGACTTTATAATTTTCTGTTTCTGTATTTGTGTCTGGTAAATGATCTAATGGTGTTGATGATATTTCTAATGGTTTCGAAGTTGAGTGTTCTTGAAAACTTGGTGACTCAAGAAGGTTAAAACCTGATGATATAACCTGAAACATACATAATAAAGAGGATAGTTCATTAACAAAACAGCAGCTCAATATCCTAAAGTGTCTTTGGTAATATAAGAAGTATACCAAAATAGTTCCTAAAATAAGGAAAAGAACAACTGACTGAGGTTTTTTTTTCACAATAATATTAAATCGTCATAGAGAAGATAGTACCGCGGTCATAAAAACGACGCCAACTACATTATTCGTAGCTCGTTGGTTATTGCTGATTTAATAATAAATATAAATAAAAATGAATCGCCGAAATGTATGTTGTACTATCAGCCAATATGATTCCTGACCCACCATAAGCTATGTTCTTACACCTATTGCAAAAAAATAAGGTGGACTTTCGCTTAAATGTACGTTTCCCTGAAAACAAAGTTGTTATTTTCTTAAAAATAATATTTCACCTAACAGATTTTGCCGCCTCCCTGTGACGTATTATTGACGTAACATTATTTGGAGTTTTGACCATAGACTACGAATTTCGCTATAAGTATACCAACGTGTTTCTTAATATCAGAAAATCGAAAGATTTTTCTGTTACATTTACGATCTTAAAGTTGATTTCGAAATTCAAACTACTATTTCATTTTCATCTATAAGATGATGTTTTGCACTAAAAACAAAAGTCGTATTTCAAAGATCTTTGGTCCATATAGTTAGTATAGTTTCCATGTTAGTAGAAGGTCCTAATTGCAATTACGCATTCTTTTCGTAGAAAACTTGCCTTATTGATATTTTTAAGCGAATTATCGGACAAGTGGGTCAGGAATCAATTTATTCGATTGTACTTCCGGATAACTGCACCATATTGGATACTTAATTATTTTTTGTATTCGCTATTGTCAGGACAAGGTTTGTACCTATTGTAATTAAAAACGAACAGAAATAAAATATGGCAGTCGGTACGAAGTTCGGGTCAGCTACACTTCTCACACACCCCAAAGTAAGCATGTAAAGCTTGTGCCCAAGCAGTTGGGATCTTAATAGGCTGTTTATGAAATGTACCCTCCGTGGAGAGTGGAGCATGTAAGAGGAGGCTGGTACTCCGGGGCCGGACGTACAGTGGTAAGCGGCCCCCATGACACGCACTCTGTCTCCGGGCAATTAGTAGCCCGTCGAATTGTATTGGGCGCGCGTAGTGGACGTGACAATATCCCTATTCTATCTATTAAGAAGGCCTGTGCCCATAGTAGTGGGGATATTAATAGGTCGATGATGAAGATACGTACCCTCCGTGAAGAATGGAGCATGTAAGAGGAGGCTGGTACTCCGGGGCCGGACGTGGAGTGGTACGCGGCCCTCATGACGCGCACTCTGGCTCCGGGCGCGCTCGCGTTTAACACCTCCATCGCCCGCGCTACTTGCCGCGTCACTCCGCCTTCTGTCACCTGCAAAGACAAAAGACCAAATCTTTAACACTGGGCGCACATGTACGGTTTCCTGATCAGGAATTCCGATTCGAAAACCTAAATGCACGTCCTTATATACAAAATGTTCAACGTTTTTGGAGTTTACTCCTTAAGAATCCATTTGCATAATAAGGGGCCCGGTATGAGAAAAATGTGAGAAGTAAAATCTATCGATGAATGACTTCGTTACTTTTTTGGTGCGCATCCTATGTCGCGCAACTTTGATAAACAAAGATGACGGATTGACATTAACCAAATTTTTAAAATCTGAACTGAATTTAGATATTGTTTCTGATAGAGCAATGGGGACAACGAGGTATGGTACAACCATTGATGCGGTATTTTCAAGATTCGTGAACCACGTATCTACGAACGTCCATGTGTCTTATTTTAGTTACCATAAACCACTTGTCACTGTAACTAATAATGCAGACAATGTTGATTTAATTAATATTTAATTAATATTTAAAAAATGATAATAGTCTGATAATAATAATTGCATAATTTATCAACATTCTTAATGATATATTTATGCACATCTGAAATTGACTATTGTAAAAAGTTTAATGTAAAATATTTCGTCGATCAGTTATAATAAATGTATATGAAATGAATAAATATATATTTATATATGTATATTATTTTCATTAATTTGTTAATTTACCCTTTCATACAGTATCAATATTTTTTAAGTTAAATAACCTCTTTTTGCGTCTGGTTAGATTAGACTATCGAACTTAAGGAGTAAACTCCAGTCGTGCGTCGGAGCTGACACACACAATTTATTTTTTCAGAATGGAAATTCCAGATTTCCGGGTTTTGAAACCGTACGTGTGCGCCCAGTCTAATACTGGCATTCTCAGTTGATGAGAATTCTTTACTTGGCCGCACGAACAGATGTAGGTAAAGTGTCACGCTGTCTAATGTGCTTATACATAGTAACATAGTAAGCGATAATACCTACGTAAGTAGTAGGTAGTATAAATATAAAGACACGGTACCCTATTGAAATGTTTATAAAGAATACATTAAAAATTAGAACTGTACAGATTTCTTTTGACCGTTGCTTTCAAGTAGTTCAGATATGAAATATTTATGAGGCCAAGCTTATGTAGGTATGATGAGTTCAGTTGTTATTATAACTGTCTGTGTTTTGCTTGGAATAGCGCAAGTCAGATTATGTCGACTTGGTAACAACATGCCGTTAAAATGCAGGTTGCGCCAGAGTCACTAATTATTGTTTAGACGCTACACGTGAAACATAACCATTAGATGCTAGATATTGGTTTGATCCCCACAGTGATTATTATGGTCAACAGCAGGGATGCTGTGAAGCTACGTGTAATTATTACCGTAACTATCGGTTATATCCTATATATAAAATTCTGAAACTACGAAATATTTGCGATGCGATATTTGCGAAGTAGGGACTCAAAATTAGTAATTTTTCCTTCTAATATTTATAATTTCTTAAAAATGTAATATCTATATCTAAAAAGTATTAATTAATCCTAGATTATTCCATATTTGTGACCGTACCCATTTTCAGGACGTAGAGATATTGTGGCAAGTGTATATAGTAAAGCAAAGGATGCATGGTTAGATTTTGTAGTATTATCAGTTTGGGATTAAATAATTAAAAAGAAAACAAATACTTATTAGGCTTTCCCAAATATTAAACTAATAATTAGTTTTTAAAATTACTTCAATGACTGAAGTTCTGGTTTAATTATCTTGCACATTTAATTAGAGAAGTTGGTAAATAAGAACATACATAATATGCACGCATTAGAAACTTTAGGTAAGTCTTTCTTTTCTGTGTCAGCCGTTGAATACTTAAGTTAAGTACAAACATTTATTTCAACCAGTTAATGACAAAGTAGCTGTAGAAATCCTTCAATAAAAGTAAATAGACCTTCGTCTAGATGCCAGTATTTTATTGTTAGTCGTGACGTGATCTTAGGCGCGGGGGCGAATGAAATTGTGGTTTTAAATGCTTTACGATTTCCGTCATGCGAACTGCAGACCCTGCCATCTGTGTCAAACAAATATTATTTTTGTGCAATGTTTAATCATGCCACATCAAAATTGGTATGAACGCGTCGCATTATAATTTAACATAGATACATACATCTCAACATGATAAACTCATACTCTAGTTTCAAGCGGTGACTAAACTTTCGCAAGTTACAAATTATTTTGCAACACGAATATCAAAACGTAAGTAGTTTATCAGTAGGGAAGTCTAGTTATGTATGTTGTACTATTGTTATGACTTTAAGATGTTGTAGGTATTACACTCGAGAGCATTGAATCCGGGTCACTTAAAGAATCTTAGAAATCTCGCAAACTAATGCTTGCCATACACACTACGAGAAATCGTTACGATCAGACTGTACAGTTCGAACGGAACAGTTTATCGTACGTATAGGAAACTGTGCAGTTTTATAACATACACGCTGCGATTTATCGGTACCGTTCGGACGGTACAGTCTAATCGTAACGATTTCTCGTAGTGTGTATGGCTACCATAAGAATGCTAGCTTAATGAAATAAATTCTAATTAATAGGCAATTAAATACTCCTTAAATGAAGACATTAAAACTTCTTAGTTATTGTAAAGTTATATCATAGAAAAATCAAATTTATGGGACTACGAAATTACTGCATTTGTTTTTTGCTTTTGTTTCTAATCTGTCATTTATCATTCACATAAACCATGTCGATAGTGTTCAATATTAATTATTCAAACTGTGATTATGTCGCTTACACCTGAAGAATGCAATGCAGAATTCTCACAATGCTGGAAACCGGCCAGAGTCAGCGCGACACATCCAGGACTGTCGGTGTGTCACTGTCAACAAAGAGTTCTCCGACGTTACGAGGGAACTGGCTCTAACCTACGCAGACCAGAAACAGGCAGAACAAGGTGTACCACAGCCAGACCCAAGCAAGTGCCCAGGGCCCCGCGATCGATAGGGGGCCCCCTCAGATCAAATATAAAGTCCCTAGTTTCTGTTAAATCACCAAACGGAAGTCATAGGGGCCCCATTATCCTAATATGCCCAGGTCAAAGACGGCACTGACCACAGCACGAGAAGATCGATACTTGGTAAACACCATGCTCGAAATCGCTTTCTCACAGGAACTGAAATTACAAATCAGTTTCGACGCCTCGGAGGAAGTAACCCAAGTGCATGGACAGTAAGACGATGACTTGCTGAAGCTAGCTTGAAACCACTTAAACGGTCTTAAACTGGAGCGTGGGCATCGTATGTCAAAACTAAGATATGCCCAGAACCACTTAAATTGGACTATTGATGATTGGTCAAAAGTTATGTTCTCTAACGAATCAAAATTTATGCTCTACAAGCACGATGGAAGACACAGAGTATATAGAAGATCTGGGGAAAGATTCAAGCAAGCAAGACAATCGAAGAAAAAGTAGCCTACGCTGGTGGGTCTGTACTTGTGTGGGCCAGAATTTCTTCCGAGAGTCGCACGGAACCAGTGTTCATAGAAAACGGCTCTTTAACTAGCGAAAGATATGCGAAATAAATCTTGAATAAACACGTTGGTTCATTTATGGTCAATTTGGGTGAGGATACTATTTTATGCATGACAGTGCCAGATCTCATACAGGTTGATAATAACTACCTCATTCACAATCCAAAAGATGAACATTACTCGTATGGAGTGGCCAGCACGCAGCCCGGATATCAACCCGATCGAGCATGCTTGAGACGAGTTAGGAGATGCGTAAAACGACGAAACTCTGCCCCAATTACTCTTCGTGATCTCAAAATTGCTCTCACAGAGAAATAATAATAATAATAAACTTTATTTCTCTAAAGAAAAACAGATTAAAAACTTAGGTCTAAGATTGTGAGAGACTGGTGACCAAACTAAGCTGACGCCTGTGTCTCAGTGCACCAGCCTCTCCCCGCTTAAGAAAGTGTTCAAGCAAAAAAAAGGAGAACAACGATAAAATCTAAAATTACATTTATATTATTTTGCATGATATGGAATATGGTAGTGTTGGTTGTGAGTATGGTGTTTATGTGCATGTGTGAAATTTGTGTGTGTGTGTGTGCGTGTTTATGTGCATGTGTGAGGTGTGTGTGTGCGTATGTGTGTGTGTTAGTGTGCGTGTGTGGAGGGGGCGTGTGGGACTGGCTCGTAATTTAAGAATTCATAAGGCTTTCTGTTTCAAAATAGTTTATGTTTTGCAGGAAATTGGTGACTTTCTTCTTGCAGCAGAATCTGGTGAGTAAATGTAGTGACAATTTTCGATTTAGTTTGTTGTAGAGAAATGGTCCAAGAAAACTATAAAAACGATTAGAGAAAGAGGTTTTAAGTATAGGAGATATATATACAGGCGGGCGTCGTGCTGTACGCGTAGTTATTGTTACAGGTATTCGATCTTTATGCTTTTTTAGAATAGTACACAGGATAAACAGTTGTCTTACAGTGAGCACTTGCGTGATTTGATATAACTCAAACATGGGAAAGAGAATTGGCTTGAACATACACACTTTCAGTATAGCTCTTTGAGCACGCTCTAAGCATAGAAGGTTGGATTTGGCGGCTCCACCCCAGGTGGTAATGCCATACATGAGTATAGATTGACAAAGTGCTAGATAAACCATTTTAATTATATGCGGCTCGGCAACATGACGTATTTTTTTTGAAAACATATATAAGCTTACGGATTCGGCCAGAGGTTATTTTGAGATGAGCTTTAAAGTTAAGTTTATTGTCTAATGTGACACCTAGATATTTAATGGATTCTACACAAGTTAGTGAAGGACAAGAACACGGAAAAGGGATATCAGATGAATATGAATGGGTTATTGTTTTATAAGGAATCACAGTTGCCGCAAGAGAACGAATAGAAAAAGTAAGGTAACAAGTCTTTTGGATGTTGAGGGTTAGAAGATTACAGCGCAGCCAGTCTGAGACAAGGTTGAATCCAGACT